ACCCCCCCCCCCCGCAGGACCCCCCCCCCCCCCCGCCTCTCCGATCCTCCAGCGCTGACTGGAGGGATGGACAGAGGAGGGGGCGGACATAGCTGGCTCTGCCTCTTGATTGAAAGCTGGCTCTGCCTATCAACCAGCGAGGAGGATCTCAGCACTATTATCAGGATCTGTCCTGCCTGGGGCGCTCTGGGGAGCAGTTAGTATATGTCCTCCAGTGATCATGAAGAGAACAAAAAAACAACAAAAAAAAGGTTACCCCTAGTTCTGTTTTAAATACATTTTTGACTTTAATATATCTTTTTATAGAGGACTTTTTCTGTCCCCTGGGTTTTTCCGTTTCTAATTCGTTATTAAAATGAAACCGACCGGTACTTGGAATAAACTCTTTTTTTTATTTCCATTGTCTCCAGGCTGTAGTCTATAGAAGACAATGATTATCCCTGTCAGATGTTTTACATGTGGGAAAGTTGTTGGAAACAAATGGGAAGCATACTTGGGCCTTCTTCAGGCTGAATACACAGAAGGGTAAGACGTCACTTAATACTATACCTGGCTGACTTTACAGGACTCAGTAAACTGGTGGTATCCCTAGTCACGGATTACCAGGCTGGAAAATATGCAGTTCAGTGATAAGGAATTGAATGAAGCATTGTTTTGATGCAGTTACAGTCACAATTGGCAAACGTGCCAAATCTGCATTGTGAAATAAACCAAGACACACATTTCCTCTCTCATACCATCCATAATGTTAAAACAGAACTCTCTTTTACTTCTGTCAGTTTGTTTATGCTGTTTTATTCCTGGGGGGGGGAGGGTTCCCCTCACTTCCTGTTCAAAGTGACAGCATAGTCTCCAGATTTAACCTCACTGTTTTGGTGACTGGTACCCTCTTGTACAGGGAGTGAGGAAAAAGGTCTTTAACTGCCTCCGGGCCGGGCGTAGTAAAAAAAAGGCCGGCCAGGAGCTCTCTAGATCTGAGCGGGCGTCTTTAGACGTCCGCTCAGACATGCCCCCTTGCGCGCCCCGCCGGGAAAATGGGCGCAATTTAAAAACGGGCAGCGATGCCCGTTAATATACATGCGATCCGCCGGCTGTAAAGCGACGATCGGTGCGGCCCCCCCTCCCTCTGCTGTCCCCCCCGCCATTGTCCCGCTGATCCCGGGCTGACACAGGGGATCAGAGAGAGCTCGGTACA